TGTAAATTGGGAAAGCAGCTTTTCCTTGTTCCATACTTTGGAAAAAGATGGAAAAACAGTTTTTCCTTGTTCCATATTTTGGTGTAAATTAAGAAAACAACTTTTCCTGCTTCCATATTTGGGTATAAATTGGGAAAGCAGCTTTTCCCGAGGCTGGATTTTGTGGGAGTGGTGGATCCAAGGCTTCCCTGGCTTCAAACTGAGCTCTTCCTCGGGCTGTGCCGAATTAATTGGAATTCAGAGCAGCTCATTCATGCCAAGCACCGGACTCCTTGTGCCAAGAAAAGGGAGGGAAAGAGCAGCTGGAAGTGGAGGAGGATCCTCTTGGCAATTCCCGGGAATTTAAAGCCGTTATGAAACTCTGGGTGGGATTTGGGATCAGTTGGAGCTGATCCCAAAGGGAGGAGATCTGTCATCTCTGCTCTCCTCATTCCCAGCCTGTTCCCACACATCCAGAACTCGGAAAAAATAGAGGATTTGGGGGGTTTTTTGGGCAATTTTAGGGCATCAGGGGAGGATAATAAGGCCCAAACTCCCGAAAGTCTTCGTGTTTTTCCAGCCTTTTCCACCATCCTCCCAAAGGGGTTTCATCCCACAAGCTGCTTTTTCCCATATTCCACTTGAAAATGCCACGAAACACCAGAAATAATTTCCTAAATCTCCCTTTCCGAGCAGGGAAATCCTGGATTTGTCCCAGGGATGGGATTTGAGCAGATCCAGGACAGGCAGAGCTCCCCAACTGCTCCGGGAAGGGAAATATCTCAAGGGAAAGCCGCTGTTTTAAAGGATTGCAGGTGGATATCAGTTGCTTTTCCCAAGTTTCCACGACAGGAGCGTTCCAAGGAAATGTTCTCGTGCTGCTCCAGCTCCTTGGATTGGGTTTTTTCTTCCCCAAATCGTTTCCAAAATACTTTTAGGCTGGATTTTGATCTCCTTTGCAGACTCGAGGTTCTGCTGCTCTTTGTCTCTGGGCTTTATTCCCTCAGGGAAAAAGGAAATGACTTGGAAAAAAAATTCCTTAAGGATTTTTTTTTCTTTTTTTTTTTTTTCACCACCACGACTTTGGAGCTCCAGAACTGGTTTTCCTGGAAAATATCCTAAACCACTGCAGGGAAAGCGGGAGAAATGAGGAATCCCGAGGCTGAGGTGTGGAATTAAAGATTCCTTGTGGGAGGTGGTCCTATGGATCGGCAGGAAAACCTCCCCCTCGTGCCCAGGGGTGGGATGTGGGATGACACCAGGGCTGGGATGGGGAAAGTTGGGATAGCTGGATAAGGCTGGGAAAGGGACAGGGGACAGCTGGAATAGCCCAGGCTGGAGACAGGGAATGGAGACAGATGGATCAGGCTCCGATAGGGACAGGAGATCATGGAATCCTGGAATGGTTTGGGTTGGAAGGGAGTGGAAATATCGTGGAATTCCGACCCCTGCCATGGGCAGGGACACCTCCCACTTTCCCAGGTTGCTCCAACCTGGCCTGGGACATTTCCAGGGGTGGAGCAGCCACAGCTTCCCTGGGAATTCCATCCCAACACTTGAGTCTCGGTTGGATCGTTGTGCCAAGATTTCAGGGAGACACGTCAGGGAGATGTGGGAAAACTGTTGAGAATCCCAATGGAAGTGGAAAATCCAAAGAGTGAAGGTTTCAAACACGTCACCGGAGCGGGCCCAGGGTCAGGGGTCGTTCCCTGTGCCCTTTTCCTGGAGGATTGGGAATAAAAATATCTGGAGCTGAGTGACCAGTTCCCTCCTGTGCCAGCACCGGCCAGGGCTTGGATTCATGGGATGTGATCCTTCTCCTCCTCCTTCTCCTTTTTCCTTCTCCTTTTCCTTTTCCCCTCACCACCCTCACAGCCAAGAATTCCTTCCCAATATCCCATCTAACCCTGGGAAGCCATTCCCTGTGTCCTGTCCCTCCATCCCTTGTCCCAAGTCCCTCTCCAGCTCTCCTGAGAGCCCCTTGAGGCCCTGGAAGGGGCTCCAAGGTTTCCCTGGAGCTTCCCTTCTCCAGGCTGGACATTCCCAGCTCTCCCAGTCTCCATTATTCGGAGGACACTTGGAGAAACAACCAAGGCCAGAAGAAGGAAATCCAGTCCCCCCCCCTTTCTGTTCAGGACTGTAAATAAATCCAATATTCCGGATAATTGTGTGGATTGGCCTCTGGCACACGGGGTGTAAGGACCCTTTTTGGGATAACAGTCATGGAAGAAATGCTTCAGATCACTGGGAGATGGGGACACCTGGACCAGGCTGGGCTGGAGACAGGGAATGGGGGCAGGTGTAAGAAAAATTCTTCTTTTAAATTTAGAAAGACAGCATAAAATCATGAAAGAAAGGATTTATTCAGCATGCTGGGTCTAGTCTCACACCGAGTTTTCAGGGAGAAAAGACCCTTTGGGCATACAATTTATACATTTTATAGTTTTACAAAATCCCACCATTTTTCAGATAAGTTTCATATATTCGTTTTCTCTGAAAAAGAGGCTTTCCCTTCCTTCTGATTTTTTTAGGCAAAAAAAAAGAGGCTTTCCCTTCCTTCTGATTTTTTTAGGCAAAAATGAGTATATTAAACTTATCTGAAAAATGGTGGGATTTTGTGAAACTAAAAAATGTATGGAATTTAAATCCAAAGGGTCTTTCTCCCCAAAAAACTCGGTGTGAGACTGGACCCAGCACACTGAATAAATTCTTTCTTTTTGTTTCATGAGTTTTTGCAGTCTTTCTAAATTTAAAAGAGGAATTTTTCCCACAGGTGAGAGCTGGATGAGGCTGGGCTGGGGACATGGGAGGGGCTGGATGGGGTTGTGGAAGGAACAAGGTTTGGGCACAGTTAGACCGGGCTGGGCTGGGAACAGAGACTGCGATCGGGGTGACCAGGCTGACATGGGCACAAGGGACAGTTGGCCGGGGCTGTGCTGGGCTCGGGCTCAGGCTCAGGCCTAGGCCCA